TGTTTAAACATTTGTTATGTTATCTATGTTCTATTGTGAATAAAATATTGGCTCATGTGATTTGAAAGTCGTATAGTTTTCATTTTATTCAAATTTAAAAAACGTCCCAACTTTTCCGGAATTCGGGTTGTAAATAATTAGGGCTGTGCAAAGATTAATTGTGATTAATCGCATCCAAAATAAAAGTTTGTGTTTACATAATATATGTGTGTGTGCTGTGTATAATTATTTTGTATATATAAATACACACACACACATGCATGTATATATTTAAGAAAATGTGGTATTCATATATATATAATTCGTGCAAATAATTCTTAAAAATATACATGCATGCATATGTATTTATATATATATATATATATATATATATACAAAATAATTATACACAGCACACACACATACATTATGTATACACAAACTTTTATTTTGAATGTGATTAATCGCAATTGATCTTTGCACAGCCCTATAAATAATATCTTGATGAAAGTCTAAGATTAGAAAGAAAAAGAAAAAAGAAAGAGTTAGATTTCGGATTGGGGGTTGCCAACAAACATCATTACCACAACATAAAAATAATTAGTCAGTGGCTGCACCAGGATATCAAATCAAGTTCAAGAGTGTAATGAAATATGTAAATTGGAGGGTAAAAGTTTAAGAATCAGTCATTGATAGAGCATGTTGATCGATGCTTTGAATATTGGTGGTTACGGTCCTGAGTGAGTGGATAGGAGGTGTTTGTTCTCTGTAACTGATAGCAAGTTCAGAAATTTGATTTCCAAAGTCAGAAGGAGAAGCTGGACAGAAAGAATGAAGGGGAGAAAGATAGAGGCAGAGATGAGGTGGGGAGGGGGCAGGAAGAGGAGGAGGAGGGCACAAGCGGCTCGGGTCGCCGTAGAAACACGATATTAGGAGATAGAGTGGCAGGTTTATTTGTAGAGGAGACAGAGAGACGGTTTGACAGCAACATCACACGAGATTCTCCTTCAACAGGACACAGACAGACACATCACACCCACACACACACCCACACACACACACAAACACATCACATATCTCTGTTATCAGCACATAAATACCACATTAATCTCTCCAATATTCGCTCTGATATCTTTTTTTGGGGGGGTTAAAGTGTGTCTTGGGTGGGTCATGACTCATGAGGTCTGTCAAACTGAAAATATTAAAGTTTTTTAGTACATTAGTCAAAAAAAAACTGTAGCCATACAAACAACAGTGAGAAATCAGTCAGCAGTTGATGTCATCATCTGTGTCTCTCTCGCTCACATTGGTGAAAGCAGGTCTCTGCTGTTTTTAACTCTAGGCCTCCAAGGGCTTCTTAGCACAACACATCCCAGAATTCATTTGGTAAAATAGCCTCCAGCAAACATGTTTATAGAGAACAGTGGAGGACTTCAAGACCATTTGAGTGAGTGAGAGAGTGGAGTAATCTGGCTTTAAATGTAATTATTGTGTGTTTGTGTATATCTATATATATATATATATATATATATATATATATATATATTTATATATAATTTTCTATATATATATATGTATGTGTGTGTGTATATGTATATATGTGTGCGTGTGTGTGTGTAAATATATATGTGTATATGTGTGTGTGTGTGTGTGTATATATGTATGTGTATATATATATATATATATATATATATATATATACAGGATATGCATCAAATTGATCAAAATTGACACTAAGGACTACTTGCATTAGTAAGGTACATTTCTACAAAGATTGAAACAGAATTGTTGTCATAAGATTTCACAACATTACTGATTTTACTGTATGTTTGGTCAAATAAATAAAGCCTCTGTGAACAGAAGGGACTTGTAATGTTTCAAAAACATTAAATATCTTACAGACCTCAAACTTTTGACCAGTAGTATATTATTTGTACTGTATTATATTTGTAACATTAGTTTATGCATTAGGGAACAAACACTGAACAAATAAATATGCAATTGCTCAGTTAAAGTAACACCAGGTAACTTTTCAACCTTCATAATATATTTCCAGTCTCTTGTGATGGGACATGGAATTACACGTCTGCCATAGCCTGACAGGGTCTGTAGCGTTTTTAATCGTACTTTTAAACGTCGGGTTTCGGGTAGTAACCCTGCGAACAAAGAGAACTACAAAATTCGACTGCTTGACATCATATACGTCACTTCCACCACCACCCTAACTTCCTTAAAATCAGACGTGCGAGCCAAATGTTATAGTCATGGCCGAAGCAGCGCAGAAAAACAAGAAAGCAAAGGTTTTATCGGACGAAAGCAAAAAGAGAAAAAGAGAAAGTGATCACATTAAAGGCAGAACGAGGAATGACTTCGAGGATCGAGGATCAGCCAGTGTTTTCTGGCGTGAGCTGAAGGAGGAGGATGGGGGCGAACTGATGCATACTTGGCTGTCATGCTTATGGACTAAGTACGCTATATTGCTTGCATACTAGCCTATCTGTATTCTCTTTGTTGTTTTGTCTGCCTTACTATGTTATGGAAGCTATCTTATCCCCCGTTTATCTTCAAAATAAAGTTTGATTACAAAATCATATCGGGGGATAAGATATGATTACAAAATCATATCTTATCCCCCGTTTATCTTCAAAATAAAGTTAACTGGCGTTTTAACTTCTAAACGGCGTGTACAAGTTTGGTAGGGGCTTCATTCTTTCTTTCAAGATATATATGAGATGTACAAAATCATATTTTTTGATACCTATTAACATGTCTGTGATATTAGCAAATCGATTTTGCTGATTCGTTTATGGTAGCTTTATTTTATAATATTGACGATGTATGGTTATTATCTACTCAAACATTGCATTGAAGTATCATATAGATTCAGTAAAACGGTAACCAATAGACTAGGCTACTATAATGACGCTGGCTTGTAAACGTGAGCATCGTGATCATTTGTCGTTAGAAAAAAAATAAAACCCATGAAATGATATTCATATGACATACTGAAATATGTCACTGTACCTGGGATGAAGACATTTCACACGCGACGGAAGCAGAACACCTGCATGTGACCTCCTACTACAGTGTTCAGGGCTATATCATGGTTGTTGTTGTCAACAAATGCGCGTGCATGTAGGATGACAGAGTTTACGACAGCAGTAGAGGATAATACTGTTTCCCAACAGTAGAGGGAGCCGGAGAGTAAAAAAAATACCTGGTGTTACTTTAATTTATGTTCTGAAAAAAAAAAAGAAGTGGTGCTTGTTGTTGCTATACGTTTGTTCCTAACTTAATTTGATTGTGTTCAATCTACTTAAATATGTCAAATTGAAGTTTACTTAATTCGTTTGGGTGCTTGTTAGTTCCCAGCATGCTTTCCCTATGGCAATATGCATATGAAGAGAGAGTAAATGTTGTAATTAACTGTTATTTTATGTTTTTGCATTTAAGATGCTAATGTGTGCTATTTCTAGCTACAAGTTTGTTAACTCGCTTGTACAGTCTTACAATTCAGTTGTGTGAATGCCTGAACCATGTCAAGGAGCCATTGATTTAATGTGGGACAAATGTACAAGATACAATCAGTGTATATACGACATTAATGTTCATTCACACAATTTGACATTTTTTACAATTTTAAAATTTAACCAAGATTAATAAAAGCTGTAAAAGTATTGTTCACTGTTAGTTCGATACCTAACACATTAATGTTGACTTATTATAAAGTGTTACTATCATTTGTTTTGCAAGTTAATCCCATTAATCCCATGATTTTAAATTCCTTGCCTTTAAATTCAGTTCTGAAGAATATTACCGCTACTGTTTCAGTTTTATTAGTTTGATGGAATATTTAAATTTCTCCTCATTCTTGCGTGTTTTGCAGCTCCGGGGCATGATAAAGATGGAAAGAGGCGTGAGCCAGGCACTTGACCTGTGCAGTTACCATGGCAACAAGGCCTTAGAGGCCATGAAGTGCTTCCCACCGTCAGAGGCTCGGTCGGCGCTGGAGAACATGGCCTGTGCGGTCACCAAGTTCTAAAGATGGTTTCAATCTGAACCCATTCAGTTTGATGCTCTTGATTATTGTCCACCTGGAGTTTTCACTTTTTTGGTGCTTCATAAAGAGGACTTTCTTTGGAATGTTTGTGGTTCTGCTTCACAGATGATGATGATGATGTTTACGTACAGTAGTAATGACGAGTGTTGATTACTGGACTCGTATACATTCTATGCGTTTGGTCGCCAAATCAGCTTTATCTTTTAAAATAAAATTGTCTTTTTGAAGAAAAAAAAATTAACATGCATCATCTCTCTTATTCTAAAATTTCTGATTTCCTGTGATATTTAACGGAAGTCAAAATTTCTATACAGCACGTTACAAAAGACAAACATCAATAATGTTAATGATTCATTAATGACTGTAAGATATGATGATATAGAAACTTATAAGTACGATGGGGGTGGCATTAACCAAAATGTTGGTCCGAAAACCGATGACTGTGTGTGTGTGTGTGTTGTGGGTGCCCGGGGTGCTCCAGCAGCAGTGTTGGCAGTAATAATTAATGAGGTGAGTGTGTGACCTGAGTGAATGGGCAGGAAATGCTGCAGTATTGATCAGCTCAGCGAGAGAGCTGGCGCCAGCTTGGGCAGCATGTGGTTTCCCGGGTGACCACGGGGGGGACGACTAGAGTGTGAAGTGAGGCGTAGGGGAGTGACGGTCACTGCCGGCAGCCGCTGGACCACACACACCCACGCTTGAAGGACAGAGAGGGAAGAGAAGAGCATTTATGCAGGAACATCAGTAGAGTTCCTTCCATGTCTCTTTCTGGCCTCAGATTTGTTGGCAGGATAGTACACTAAGTTTCCCCGGTAGGAGCAGGACAGCCCTCTGGTCATACATGAAAAATTCATTTTGGCCTCAAGCAGACCTGAGAAAACACGCAGTGAAAAACTTAAGAGAACAAGGACAGAAATAAAGAACAAGCAACCCTTCCTGACACAATAACAACACCACCATGTCAGAGGCAAACTTGTGCCGTCTCATCCTGATCAGAGTTCGTTCAGACTTTATTATTAGAATTACTGTGTAAAACTCACAAAGTGTTGAAGATTTGTAGGAAAAGTCGGTTTTGGGCCTCATTGAGATTGTACAAATCACATTTTAATCATTTAATCAGTCATGGCTCATGGCTAACACTTAAAGATCAATGTATTGGTGAATTTTCTGCTAATTTTTGAAAGTTGATTATTCCTGGCAGGAACAACACAAGACAACACTGCTTGCCAGATCTTCAGTTGTGATGATCGAGCTCTGGCTAATTTCTTTAAATGAGTTTTTTAATTTGCGGATTTGATTTAAAAAAAACTAACAGTGAGCAATCTTTTTTTACAGCATTATTTAACCTTTGTTAATAAAAAGAAATCCAAGTTAGTTCTAACTAATGTTGACAGATAGAACTTTTGATTACTAAATGTTGAGATTAACATAGCTAAGATGAATAAATACTGAAGTATTGTTCATCGTCAGTTCGTGTTAACTACTGTAGTTGACGAATGTCAACAAAGGAGACTTTGTTGTAAAGTATTACCAATATCTGGATTAAGTTGTCTAATATTACTGCATGTTCTTGTGTTCATTGGAATGGGCAGATATACAGTATATCGATACTCGCAATCATGATGAGCAATGCAGCGATTGTCTGGTGTCAGCAATGTAATGACGTCATAAAAAAAAAAAAAAGGAAACAGTCAAGCAGCTGAAATGACATAAAATATCTAATACAGAAATGAAATGTGTAAATGGTTAAAAGTGGGTGGGAAACCTAGCCCAAAGTTGCTTATAATAATAATAATAATAATAAGTAGACTTGGCAACACTGATGTGCTTGTTTTGTAAAACTGACACTTCTCAGGTTTCTCGGGTGGTGGTTGTTTTTTAAGCTGAAGTGAAATTTCTGCTCCACTAGCGGGGTTGCCAGATCTGAAAGAAACAAACAAAACCAGAAACACTCTGATACAAAACTAGCACAAATACCACAACTCAAAATATGTCAGTCCCATAGATAAAATACTTTTCAGTCTGTTATGCATTACAAACAAGTTTTAAACTCAAATCACTATACAGTAATATATAAACAGTCTGTCATCTTTAAGATTTGTATAGTTTTAAGATCTTGTTCATGGTTATTTTCATTGATTTCTGCACACTGGCTCCTTCAACCATTCATTTATATTCAATTCAATTCAGTTGGTTTATCAATCAAATAAAGTATTTCAGTCAAATACAATTTATAATACACGTTAAACCTTAAACCCACAGGGGGAAAAACAAATCGCTGCAACAGTTTAGCCCAATTCCGCAGGAAAAAAACCATAGTCCCACCCCAAATCTCACGACATTGGTTCAGCTGATACTGGTCAGAATGGTCAATTGATAGTGCCAGTGTTTACACAAATGTACAACCAGTTGGTATTTTGGCCATTTATTTTCTTAAAAAACAAACAAACAAACTGTGTGTGTGTGTGTGTGTTATGGGGTCAGATGGCGGCCTAACGAAATTCAGACGTACACACAGACTTACTCAGTATAAGCATCCTGGTAACCTAATACTGTCTCTGTTTTTGCGCATAGAAATGATTTTTGCGGTTTGGCAATTTGTGGCAATCCGAGCCCCTGATGACATGGTGGCTGGATTTGCACAGGTATAGCAAGTGAGAGAGAGAGCGTGTAGGATACCAGCTCAACTTCAGCAAAGCTCAAATCTATTATGACACTCATTTATTACATTCAGACAGGTGGCTCTCCCTCTCGTTTATGTGTTTGGGTCAGAGATGAGGAGCCTGGTCTGAGATTAAATTTGATTTTCGTATTCTGAAACTTAATATTAATTAGATTTTTCTTATATTTTAATGTGACACGTGTTTTAGGTCTTAGAGCATAATAAATGAATAAGAAGATCTATTCTATTTTATAAGTAAAACTGTTATATGTGACTCTTGCATTTTGTGTCCTCATTAGACTTTACCTTTAAAACCAGTCTGCTTCAGGAATATATGACAGACGATTTGTGCTCTAGTCTCCCCATCTACGCACAGATCTAAACTCTCCAGGACCATTCTCGCATCTCGTCATCATGTTCACTTTCGAAACAGTCTCTCACATTTTGTGAAACACACTTTGGGGAAACTCTGTTTTCTCAGAATACTGATTTGTTCACGTTTCTACACTGCACGAACCGATGGCATTTCAGCCCGCCCAAATGCGAAGAGCCAACTGCCTATAAGCTTTTGATACAAAATGCCACGCCACGAGTGTGACTCGTGCAGGCGAGCACAGTGAGTGTATTGCTTGCCTGGGCTGAGCTCACACTGAGGCAGCGTTCAATGTAACAGACTGCTCTCATTGCAGGAGCAAGAGTATCTCCACTTTGTGCTCACAGTCAGATACCTTTCTTCACTGAAGACGGCCCTCGCTTTCTCCCATTTCCCTCCTCCTAGGAGCATGTGGGGTTAAATGAGTGCAAGCCCAGGTGTTATTGCTGCTTTTCTCTTGTTCATTATGTTTGGGAATGTGTTTGTTTTGCGGTTTCATGCAGACTTCTGCCCCAGACAATTTACCAACCCTTGTTTTTCTTTGTTGTAAATCAGTTAAACTCAGGCCTCAACCTCAGGATCCTGAATCACGGATTAATGAGATGGGTATTCAGGATGTTGAAATTGAAGCAGATCCTCACGCAGGTCTTCCCAGAGGGTTGGTTCTTATCTGTGAATCTGAAAGATACTTACTTTCATATCCAAAAAGCACCTTATCACAGACTGGGAAATGGGGGCTCCACCACCAATCGGTTTAGATGATCTGGGAGATCTTCAGGAGGGCAGAGGTAGACCTCTTCGCCTCAGAAGACAACTCTCAGTGGCCAATTTTTTTCTCAAGGGAACAGGACGCACTGGCCCAGGATTGGCCTAAAGCTTGCCTGTACGCCTTTGCTCCCTCAAGTCATCAGGTGAATTAGGGAGACCAGATGCTCTGTTCTCTTGGTGGCTCCACTCTGGCAAAACCATCTGTGTTCACTGAGCTGATCGTGGACGATTCCGCTGAGGAAAGACCTTCTCTCTCATAGAGAGAGTCCATTTGGCATCCCCGCACTGAATCGTAGAGCGTCATCACGAGGTAGGCATGTATGTTAGGCTACTTATGCGCGAATCGGTGGGCGGGGCTAAACCGGCCGTGTTGAAGTACTGTAGGTGTTGATCTTCTTCTGCGGGGTGGTGTTTTAACCCCTTCGACGTCATAGTTCCCCACTTTTAAAAACGAGTCGTTTTCAGAGGCTGGTGTCAATAAAAGCTTTTATTGGACTAACAAGGACGTTTTCAGTTCTGAAACTTACAGAATATTCTTATAATATGATGACCTCTTGGATGTCAAAAGCTCAAGGAAAATTTGATTTCTCAGTTCATCACCCCTTTAAATAAGGGGTGTACCCCTTCCATGCTCAAGGTATATGTGACGCCCTCGTGGCCGGCCAGTCTGTAGGAAGGAATGACATGGTCATCAAATTTTTTAGGGGAGCCAGGAGACATAACCCGCATAACCCTTGTACTGTTCTGATCTGGGTCCTGTCCGTGATCCTTGGGGTCCAATGAGGCCCTCCGTTTGAGCTGCTCTAAGCGGCCGGATTACGGCCCCTGTCGCTGAAGACAGCTGCTAGCTTTAGCGTCTGTCACACGTGGACGACATGCAGCGCTCTGGGTGTTCAATGTGGGTGTCTGATCAATACATCGTTCGCCAAAGCGTGTTTCACGCAGTTTGAGAGACTGTTTCGAAAGGGAACGATCTGGTTACTAACTTAACCTTGGTTCCCTGAAATGACGGGAACGAGCATTGTGTACCCAGCCGTGCTATACACGAGTCTGTGCTGCCGCAGTCGAAAGATTCTGACATTACGGCATTCTTCACCGACTTATAGTCGGCTTTGGCCCGGTATGGCAGGCTGAAATGCCATAGGTTCGTGCAGTTTAAAACTTTAACTAATCAGGCTTCAGTATTCTGAGAAAACCGTGTTTCCCCAAAGAGTGTTTCATGCAATGCTCGTTCCTATTATTTCAAGGAATCGAGCATTTTCTGTTCCTGTTGCGTTCAAAAACCCTTTAATGTGTGTTCTGTTAGGCTAGTTGGCTGACAGTAAGGAAAAACACCCTTTATACATATATATATATATATATATATATATATATATATATATATATATATATATATATATATAACAATAATAATAAAAAAAAATTACAGCCTAGGCCTATCTGTGTTTTTTTTAATAATGTAGGCTATTATAGGCATTTGCATGCATTTTTTTAATAGCCTATAAAAACAATGAACTGAATAGCAGTTAACTCTTGAGGATATATCCATTTAAGAGTCTTTGAAGTAGCCTACTGCAGTTTTGAAATGTATTCGTATTGTAGTATTCTTCTTTATTTTGTCACTAAATCAATAAAATATTTTTTTTCTCGTAAGATAAAAAAAGAGATGCGCGCATGCTAAAATTAGTCTTTAACGAGCAGCGCAAAACTCTCGTTTTACTGCGCGAGCGCCATCGCATGAGCGCGTGATGGATCAAACAGCCCACATTACCTGAATAATGACCGGCGTCTCATCACACCCACATTTCAAAGAGCCACGGCTCCGTGACCGTGACTTAATGCAGACATCACTAATGCGCGTTATGGGACATTGGCCACATCGGGTGCAAACTGATGAGTGTCTGAATGAGAACAGTCTCGGAGTGTGCCTTTGCGTGCGCGCACGAGGACAGCTGCAGTGGACTTTTCACCTCTTTGCCAGTGCTGTAACAGACAACCTGCATCATCCATAAATAGCTTACATATTTATATGCTGTAAAGTTTAATTAGACATTCTATGCTTGAATGGAATATATAAAATACGAATTAAATAAACAAATGCTTAAAAATATAAATAAATAAATTAATGACAAATATAAAATAGAATTTTTGCTATGCATTACTTGTCATATCCACTAGACGGCAGTCCCCTTTGTTAAACTGGCAGTGAACGGCAACATAAAAGCGGGACAGTTCATAGTTCGCTAGTTGTATCATGGGCAAGACTGAAAAGTTCACATAACCTATTTATGTTGCTGATAAAGTTAAAATACGAGCTAACCGTATTTCGGGTTGCAATGTGATAGCTACAGAATGCGTCTAAATAGACGGTTCAAACAAAAGAAAATTTTCTGAATGTTACAGATATGCAATAGGCTACATTTATTTTTCGGCAACATTTTTTCATAAAGTAAACACGTAATAATTGTGAGTCAAGTAATAATAGGATAGGCTACTAGTCTATGAAGACCTGCTCCATCAAATATGTCCTTAGTATAAATTACTATTCAAATATTAAATTCTGTGAGGACAAAGTAGCCTACACCCAAACAATTCGTGGTAGCCTATCGTTTGGTTTTCTTGGTGTTGCTTACATTTCCAATCTCATTACTCAGAATTTGCAGAACGTCATTTATTTAACTGCACCAATTTCAAATTAATGTTTTAGAATAAAACGGAATGCACTTTTGACATGAACAAAAAGGCTTAGCTATTTTGCGTGATAGAGAATATATTCATATGCATCAGACTATTCATACTGTAGTCATTCTGTGCCGTGTAGTAATAAAAAAATAGTTATTAAAGTGATCTAAAACAACTTCAACTATAAACTTTGAAATATATTTGTGTTGTCACGCGGGTCAATGACGTGTGGGCGATTATACACTCGTGGAGGCGCGCGACTCGTGGGGCCTAGTGAAATGACCGAGAGTCACGAGAGAAGTCCCACGCCACAGTGCGCACTTCACTCATTTCACGGCCACGGCGCCGCAGCTCAAGGATTCACGTGGGGTGGGCTGGCAAAAACCCCACAGCGAACCCACAGCTGTGCGGAAATGACACAGTACCGTCACGTCACGCGAGAGGGCACTGACTAGAGAAAGAAGAGGAAAAAAAAGCAGCGGAGAGAAACACGGACAACAGTTATCCGTGGACAAATCCACTAGATTTAAAGACGCGACCATGGCTGATGCCTCCTAACTTACAGCACACGGCTTCCCGGCGTCGCAAAGGTGAGTTTGTTTTCAGCCGCGCAGGTAGTTTTAGCGCGCCGTGTTGCGGGAGACGGAGCGAAAACTCATCGGTGGATGTTTTTCTTGCCGCGTCACGCAAGAGGGAGAGTTGCTTACGGGGGAGGGAGGGGAAAAACGAGAGAGAAGGGCAGATCTCCGTATTACTGCAAAAAACAAAAACAAACATAAAGTGTACATTATTTCCTTAAGGCATATGCAGTCCACAGAAGGACCGCAGCAGGGAGCCGCTTGTCTGTCTGACTCCCCGGTTGTACCAATCCGTGGGGTTTCCACTGGAAGAATGAGGAAGTGGAGCCGGTGGATGGGGGTCAGTACGGTGAAGCAGCGCCTCTCCGGTGCTCTGGCGAGACTTCACGGTGCAAGACATGAAACAACAAATAGGAAAACAATCTCACAGAACTTCAAAAAATCACTCAGGGAATGTAAAGTTTTATACGCCTCATAATTTTTTCACGCTTGCCATGACACCTGTCCTCAGTGTTAAGCTGACTTCACTGTCTTTCAGCAGGCCAAGTGCTTCCTCTTTTTAAAACAAACCATTATACAGAAAGATATGTTAGTGAGATATTCCTAAACTTGCATTCCATGGACATCTGCTGCCTATGATTGACAAGTGTAAGGAAAAGTGCAAAAGAAATCTACTAGATGTATGATTATCAGACAATATCAGTAATCAGTCATGGGTCTTGTGTGTCTCTTCCCAGGATATGAGCTCCTCTGTGTGCATGGTTAATGCAGACGGACAAGTGCCTGATAAAAGTATGTAAATTCGATTCACACTAAATGCCCCTTTAGAACTTTCACTGAACAATACAGTTTTCTCTGTGTACTAAAATGCATTTTTTCACAATAAACAAATCAAATGATCCAGTAACTTACCTTAGCATTCAAATGGAGAAGTTGAATTGAAAGTTTACCTGGTATTAGGTTCACTGGTGATTGCATGAATTTACAGAAATCACCTGACAAAAAAAAATCAAGTAGGCAGTACTAAATACAGGTATAATCAAAAACATTTAGCAGAGAAAACATCAGATGGAGTCATAAAGGAATGAAATTGCATGTAAAATCAACCACTGCCTTAACTTTAAAGTCACCATGAAATCAAATTTGAAAAATGTTGTAATATTTGTAGTGTTGACTATTGCACATCATATTTTTTGGTAAATTCAAGTGCCCGATAAAGATAAAAATGTAAATGGAGATGCATGTTATTCCAGCTGTAAATGTTAAACTTTCTAAGCTGATAATTTGTGATAAATCACTTGAGACAGATCTTAAAACCAGGTGTAAACAAGGCAAGTTTTCTGTAAACAACTATCCTGTAACCTCATTAAAGTTGTGCAGAATTGTGTGAGATAATGTATATCAGCATTTCTCAGCATTCTTGAATAGTTATGAACACTTGGGTTTTTCTTCAGAAGTTAAAGTCGAGAAAGATGCCGAGGATATTATTGAAAACTCAGAGGGAAAGATGGAGAGCTTCATTAAGCGCATTACAAAACGTTTAGCAACACACGCAGGCCCCGAGGTGGAACGGTCCACTAGCGGGAAGAGGGTCAAGGTGACAACACAGGTAAGATGAAAATGGACTTCAATTCTTCTACAGATTAAACATTGCATTTGGGATAGAATTTGTCAGGAGCTGTCTGGTCTGATATTTCTTTTGGTGCAAACTATTAACAGCAATTTCCCACTTTCCAGGCAGGAGAACATCCTGTCGGCAGTTCAGATGATGGAAGCAGGTCATGCTCTCGTGGCCACAGATTATCTCCTCAGGAGCAGATATCCATCTCTTCATACAGGAAACCACTCTACAGCATCACGCATCGTATTTCTGAGCGCAAAGCTGCATCCAATCTGGACCAGCACGGAGCACTCAATGGAGTCAGAGCAAGCCATAATGGTGTCCAGTTTCAAAAACTGGGCAATTCTAGAAAGCATCACATGTTTAAGGCCTCCCCTACTGTGGGGGTCACAGGTTCTCCTGCTGCCTTGGACTCTCACCTCTACCCGCTCATCGAGAAGATGTTCTTCCTCCTCAACACACTGAATTCCAGTATGACCCAACTGCACAGTAAGGTCGACTTGCTCTCGTTGGAAGTGACGCGCATTAAAAAGCAGATGAAGCCCTCTGAGATGGTCATGGAATTTCAACCTCCTCCTGAATACCAGTTGACTAGTGACGAGCTCACCCAGCTGATGGAGCACACGTCCACTGCGGGCGAGCTTGGCTGCAGACTCCTCGTTCAACTGTTCCCAGAACTTTTCACAGCAAAGGAATGCATGCACAGCTGCAGCACATGCAGCATTACAACTAAACGGACATTAGATTCATTGCACCTTCAGTTAATACGTAACTATGTGGAAGTCTGCTACCCGCAGGTAAAAAATGAAAATGTCTGGCAGACGGAGTGCTTGCTGCAGATCAATGATTTCTTGAATCGTTTCTGGGCTCAGAAGGACATGGAGAGTGGTCAGATGTGTGACAGACAGGCTCCGATGGTTGTTGGGTTTGACATGGAACCGAATCACACTTTCCACTTTATCAGTGAAGATGCCCAGGACGAGAGTCTTTCCCTCAACTCTGGAGAGAACAATGATGTTCAACCTAATAATGCCAGCTCCGATATAGCGTTTGACCCTCATGAGGCGGCTGGGGACGACTCTGAAGACTTGACGTCCCCAGAGGAGCTTGTTGTTTTTTTGTTAAACAGACTTTTCCCAGAGGTGTTTGAGGAGGGCAAGTTGCCAGAGGGCCACAACAGCATTGGACAGCTGATCATTGACTCGGACAGACTGGAAATTATACGAAGATACATGGAGGCAAATTTTCCTGATATCCCAGAGGAAACCTGGCTGCAGTTGTGTGTGCAACGAATGGAGGAAGCACTGGAGAACTCTTCAGTAAATGGCAGTGGTCGTGACACCCGAGAGATGTATGATACCACCCGTCTCCCTGATAACATCTCCATTGTTAAGATCGGTGACCTGTGTGATTATGAGAAACCAAATCGCAGGTCTAAAAAATCTTGGCTCGAGCCTGTTGATTTCGATAAATTACAGATCCCTCCTCCAGACTTTGTTGTTCCGCAGGAGTATTTACTTACTAAGGAACAGCTAAAAGGCAACTACGAATGCAGTTTATCAATTGGGAACTTTGCATCTCGTCTCCTGGTTCTCATGTTCCCTGAGCTCTTCACTTTCGAGAATGCCCGAAAATACTACAACTGCAGCGGATCTCTAGGAAAGAAGCAGCTGGATCCTATACGAATCAATCTCATCCGACATTACGTCCAGCTACTCTATCCACAAGCGAAGAACGACCGCGTGTGGACTCTTGAGTTTGTCGGCAAACTTGATGAGCGTTGCAGGCGACGGGATACTGACCAACGACGTTCATACCAGCAACAACGGAAGGCATGTTCGCCTGACCAAGAGCCTGACCCAAAAGAGTCTCTGCTAACTGCTGGCCAACTCAATGTTCTCACTTCAGATCGTGTGAAAGAGGACTCTGAAGTCCTGTCTTCACCCCTGGAGAAAAGCAGCAAAGATTTCTGCAAGATTCCTCTGGAGGACCTCTCGGTGTCTACCCCAGACTTCCCAGTGCCTTCTGACTACCTGCTCACAGATGCTGAAGTGAGGGAGATTGTCCAACAGAGTCTGTCTGTGGGTAATTTTGCTGCCCGCCTTCTCGTTCGTCTATTCCCAGAGCTTTTCACGCAGGACAATTTACGGCTGCAGTACAACCACTCTGGGGCCTGCAACAAGAAACAGCTGGACCCTGTGCGCCTCCGACTTATTCGTCATTACGTGGAGGCCGTCTACCCTGTTGACAAAATGGAGGAGGTATGGCACTATGAATGCGTGCCAAGCATTGACGAACGCTGCAGGCGCCCCAATCGCAAGAAATGTGACATTCTAAAGAAGGCAAAGAGATCAAACACTGTGAGTTATTCTTAATCAATGTTCCTGCAAAGTGCAGACCTGTTTTCCTATATTTTACACAACATACCTGTTATTTGCACAAGTCCATAAGCTGAAGCATATTGAAACTTGTCCTTGTTTAAGGTCCAGTTCAAGTCCTTAGCCTTTAAACAGGATGGGATAGTAGGTGACAGCAAAGTTTGTGATTGAAGCCACTATCACTTGATAGATATTAGTGTTACTATTTATATGCCAAAATATTATTGATGTTATTCTAATGATTAATATATAAGCTAAAGTTAGCCTTAAATCAACTTAAATGTAAACATTTAGTACTTTAAAAAATAACAGGTCACTTTAGTTTGGGGTGAGGGTAGAGAAGATGCATATATATGTAAGAAGATACAGTATATATATATATTGTTTTAAGTTGTAGCAATGTTGCAACACTGGCTTTTTCTAATTATCAACATATTGAAGTATGCCTTGCCTTACAAGAAGTCAAACTTACTCATCTGTACTTAACTATAGCACCAGGTTATATGTTATATATTTTTAAATAAAAAATCACTTCCTAGCTGAGATGGGTTTCATGATCCTTTTTATTAAAATCCAAATATACAAAGTGAGGGTCAGAGGAAATCATACAAAACCTAAGGTAGGACAGATAATTTGCATTTTTGATGTTTATGAAGACTGATCAAATTTGTTTTCTTTGTGTTATAAATACAGTTTTGGAACCTGCATTTGTTTGGATTTGGACTCACTTTTGAATAATTTGCGTGGTGCAAAATATTTTTTAAGTCTGGCTTAATATTTATAAATATATTTCCATTGTATGCAGAGGGACTCTGTACTTTTCCTGAAAAAACTGCTCACTGAAAATCTACCAATGTCATAAAGTATAAGCTAAATAAGCAATGAACAAAGGATCAGAAATCCTGAAAACATTTGATATCACAAACACTGTCTGATCTACTGTATCTCACAATAGTAATTTTGTGAATCTGGTAAATACTAAATAATAATAAAAAAATGCACATAACATAAAATACCTCTAAATAATTGGATGTATTTGTGTTCCATTTGTGACCTGTAAAGTTTATTAAATCCATCTTCCAATAGTATGAAAGTTATGAGAACGACTGTCAGGTGAACAGTTATGATAAAGTTTTTGTTGTGCAGAGAAAACACCTCATTGAATTAACAATCTGCAGTTTCAGAATTACATGCTGGAGAGTGGAATATGAAATACCACTTTTGTCACAGCTTCTGACCTTTCACATATTAAACATAATAGAATTGGTCTTCACTGCTTGTACACATCCTTTCTGGGAAGTTGTAGGTGTTTCCAGCTTCTTAGAATGACTCTCTGCTTTTCTGTATCTTTTGTCTCTCCAACCACCTTTTTTAAGATCACTCTTTTCAGCAAGACTGTGTCCATTTCCTTGTCCTCATTTAGAATCAGATCCAGTGTATCCCCCACTTTAACCTGTAGGAGGCAGCAGACCATCGACTGTTATATTAATAAGGTACCATTTCTGCTTATACTAATCACAACTCAGATAAATTTAGTCAAGACAGTAACAGACGTCTACCACAAGCAGGGTAAGTTTCTTTACTGCATCCATAATTAAAGCTACTGTTACATATTTATAAGGAAAGTTCGTCTGACCATACCACTAGAGGGCGCTGACTCACCATTTTGCTCTTTTTTGACAGCTTTTGACCATTCAGTCTCAATTTGAGGCTATAAAAAGCATCCTCCACTCCACTGTAAAAGAGATACATGGAGTATGTTAGTCACAACCAGTGGCCAAAACACCACACACTAAAAGTACAGAAAATAAATAAAGGAGCAATATGTGCAAAGAAGGTGTACATAACTCATCCATTCTCTGAAGGGGTTCTATGAGGTAAAACTGAGGAGTTGTCCTAATAACAGGCAGCTTATCTTTTCCGAACTGTTACAGTCAAAGTTATTAGAGCTAAAATATAGATCATGAAACTTCATCACAACTGCAATTGGACCTGAAAACACTACTTTGCAACTGAGACAGAATTAATCTCAGAACACAAGCGGTATTTCTGGCTTACTGTCGTGCAATGTCCAATCCAGCCTTCAAAAGCAGATCGAAACGTAGAGACGGGACAGTTTTTTCATGGTCTTTGTAGTCTTTTGGCAGGCCTGGGTCATCTTGAAGCTCGTCCTCATAATCACTAGCCTCTGCATCCTGCTGCTCCTCATCCTCCTCCTCCTCCTCCTGCTGCACTACTTTCTGCTTCCCTTTCTTTCTCGTGCTCTTGAGCCGTGTTTGATGGAGCAACCAGCTTTGCCGAGCATCCCACGATTTTGGCCACATGGCTGTCCGATGCGTCTGGGGAGTGGCTGAACCCCACAGCTGACGAGCATGTAATGTCTGTGGGCACCACATGATGAGGCCAGAGCCATGGCACGGTGAGAGCAGCTGCAGCGAGTTTAGTCTGCCCAGCTGCCGCAGAGCCAGTGCCTGCACTGACAGGCTCTGCATACTGTCACACTGAAGACAGACACAAGGGGAAAAGATCAACAGACCTGTACATAAATATATTGTTGATTTTGTATATTGTGACTGTTTTATATACTTATTTCTATTCACTTATTTTAATTTTATTCTTATTATTCACGGCTCGTTGCTATGCTTCTGTCACCAAAACAAATTCATTGTATGTGTAAGCATACTTAGCAATGAAGCTCATTCTGATTCTGATTAATTAAACATTTTATATGAACATTTTGTCAGAACCTCTAGTAAATAATGATTTTTTTTTTAGTTGTCTGAATTTCTACATCTAAATCAACAATTTTGGTAAATGGTTTTGGAAGGCATGCAGCTGTCAGCACAGACACTATTGACATGGCTTTCAAATAATCTAAACTTTTTGCCCTAGGTTTGTCCGTAAGTTACATAAATATATATATTTTGAATTTTAAATTTGAAGTGCGAACCGAAATTATATTTAGTATACAGACACAGACATAGACATAAGGAATAGCGTAATAACGTTAACGTTACAGTTTGTAAAGATCTGACTCATTTTCATGACAGTATTAGAATTTTTGCATATTAGACAGCAACTCATAATGTGCTACTTCCCCACACCACTGTTCAGGGCAAAACTTAATGATACGTCACCATCAACAAATGCACAATCAACAGTTTTGAGATAAACAACGACATAAAGACGAATTTTACCTGAGTTGAGATATCTCCCCTTGACTCTCTAATCTCGACCAACGAGCACAGTGAAAACACCATGGAAAACACACCAGAGCTGTCGCTGCTGCTGTAGTAGTGCCCTTATTACAGCGCCATCTAGAGTCGGGATGAATTGTTTTTCACAATGCATGATATCATAAAGTTGTTTGTCCATCAGCTAATAAGCATTAGTAGTAGTATTATTTTTTCTTCAGAATTTACAGAATTCTCTGTGCACTATTTGTACTATCTATGCTGTTCTACTGATTCTCCATTACATTTATAGAAGACTAAACTCCCGCCCATTCAAACGCTCTTGTTCTCTGGATTGGTGGCTGGCGTTGAACATCTGGGGGCCAGCGGCTTTAAAACATCATGTGAGCGCCTCCTTCTGTCAAAACTCTCACCTTGAGGCGGAATACACACAACACTTCTGCATCGATCTTCATCAACATGGCATTCTTTATTTGCATCTTTGTATTTTGCCTGTCTGTATTTTTAATGGAGGCGCAGGGCACGTATGGCCCTTATGCACGGAACCACCAGAACCAGCTGTACCCGCACCGGCAGAGATCTCACCTCTCCCCCAATATTCCTGGACACGGCAACTCCATCAACTTTGGAGGTAATCATTGTATTTCTGTTATTTTTATATTTTTTAATTATAATAATGATTATTATTACACACACATTAAAAAAATAATAACATTCAGTGCTTATCTTTTAAACATAATTTAAATTAAGGCTTGAGCTTGAAAATAATTACAAGCATAGATTTTGCTTGTTTTTCGTTGGATGGAGTAAAACAAAAACAAGCGAAATCTATGCTTGCAATTATTTTCAAGCCTTGATTTAAATTTAAGAACTGAATTTTTATTTTAAAATAAAAAAAAACAAGTGAGTGAAACTAAACTATTAAATATGAAAGAAACTAAACTATATATATACTAGAAATATATATATATATAATTTGTCAGGAACAAAAACTAACCTATAGTCCCTTGAAATTATAATAATACACTGGACATTCCATTTTACAGTAGGCCTATTACAGTTTTCTTTGTCAGCAAACGCTTAATGACGGATCAGAGACCTTTAGACTCCTAAAACCATGAGCAGTGATTCTATTGACTATTTTACAGGAAAATATGAAATATCAACCCTTACAAAAATATGTTTATTCAATTGTGCCAGTATTAGTACACTAAGAAAGTATACATTCAGTCTACTTTTTATGCACTTCTCATATATAGGCTACTTTTTGTACTTAGAAATATACTTAAAATTATAAATATTTGACTTATACTGACAAATATATATTTAAAAGTATAATTATGTTGTATTCTTATACTTGACTTGTTATACTCTTTTGATTGAGTAGCCTATTCATACTTTTTTTTTACATAGTTTTAAATACATTTGAAAATATTGAAAACTGATATGTTCCTAATTCTGAGAATGTACATTTTTGTGTAGTCCACTGGTAGTGTACTTTAAACTTAAAACTCATATTCAAAATTTTAAGTTATTGATTACAATCTACATGATTTATGCATTTAAGTATACTTTCTACATATCAAAGTTGTACTACAAATAACTTTTTTCCTTGTGTCATATTTTACCTGATAATTGTCCCTTAAAAAAACGAGGAGGTGCATGTTTCTCCTTCAGGTTGACAGGATATAGAACTACAGTCATTCACAGAGAACTTCTGAACAGACCACTGACTTTGCTCATGCTACTAACAAAAAAAGTGCCTTCAAAACCCACATCAATATCATATTGCTTTATTGCATCTCTCTCTCCCCCTCTGCTTCCCCTCCATTTTTCCTTTTCATCTGTCTATGGATATATCTCTCCTCCTATGCATTTCTGTACATCTGTTCTCTCTCTCTCTCTCTCTCTCTCTCTCTCTCTCTCTCTCTCTCTCTCTCTCTCTCTCTCTCTCTCTCTCTCTCTCTCTCTCTCTCTCTCTCTCTCTCTCTCTCTCTCTCTCTCTCTCTCTCTCTCTCTCTCTCTCTCTCTCTCTCTCTCTCTCTAACCAAACAAAGCTCATGGCTTTAATCACAGGTTTTACAGCTATCATCATCGCAGCCCTCATCAACATCATCACCAGTGGCCGCCCTGGAAGGGTCCTCCCTTTATCCACCACCGTCCTGTCTTACCTGTCCAGCCCATCTCACCTGTCCAACCTGTCCGGACAGTAGTGCCCACTCTGCCCAGAATGCCAGTGGTGTTACCGGCCCCTACAGTGCCCATACCACTCACCACGGTAGCCACCCTCCCCCCGCCACCTCCAACACAGACTGCAACCACAACAACCACCCCACAGCCGGTCAGTACCCCTCGTGGCACAACTGCTGCCCCTGCCGAACCTCCCACTGACCCAGGTAGACCAATCCCACCCAGCCGGGTGCAGACGACCCGTCTGGTCCTCCTCAGTCCCTTTTAATATTTTTCTCTTCTTTCTCTCTCTCTTTTCAAGGAGAATTCAAGAAAAAAAGAATGGTCGTTTAGCTTAAAACAAGCAGGGTTGTGGAATATTTCTATACACAAATAGCATTAATTAGGCTTTTTATTTATTTATTTTAAACTAATTTAGCACTAGAGGCATTAGCATGAGTACATTAGTCATTAAAGGGCTATTCATACTAAGAAGGATAACAATGACGATAACCATCAGCGTTCACAACAATTCACAATAACACTCTTATGCGTTGCAATAATGTTGTAAATGCTTAAGTCTTTAAAGCAGGATGGATTCTGATTGGCTGTCAATGTTTTTATCTTTCCTCAACAATATCGTTCCTCTGTGACTACATCTTTTATCGCCTTAATGCTAATTGTGTATATTGTCCTCATATTCTGCTTTTTGTTTACATGTTTAGAACAAACGAGTTTAACAGGATCAGTTTCTTTCCATTTTCCAGTCACAGTGCTGCATTGCTAACTGAGGAGCCTCTCTTATGTTTCATAAACAAACAACATTTTTACATATTAATCTCTTTCAGCATCACACACGTTTTTAATGATAATATGTGACACAAATATTCAGTATATAATGTATTATTTCTCTTTCACAGCTCCAGCAGAGCTTTGCAAGAGCCGTCCTCTAGACCTGGTTTTTATCATCGACAGTTCTCGTAGCGTCCGTCCTGCAGAGTTCGAGAAGGTCAAAATCTTCCTCTCTGAAATGGTCGACTCTCTAGACATCGGATCCGACGCCACGCGAGTCGCCCTGGTCAACTACGCCAGCACCGTCAACATTGAGTTCCTCCTGAAAAAGCACTTTAGCAAGGCTGAGGTGAAGCAGGCCTTCTCACGCATCGATCCGCTCTCAACAGGAACCATGACTGGCCTGGCCATCAAAACCACCATGGAGCAGGTTTTTACAGAGACTGCTGGGGCCCGGCCCCTAAAAAAGAACATTGGTAAAGTGGCCATTATTGTGACCGATGGGAGGCCGCAAGATAAAGTTGAAGAGGTGGCAGCAGCAGCAAGGGCTTCTGGGATTGAAATATACGCCATTGGAGTGGACAGAGCAGAAATGCGGTCTCTTAAACTGATGGCCAGTCAGCCTCTTGATGACCATGTGTTCTATGTGGAAACATACGGCGTGATTGAGAAACTCACATCCAAGTTCAGGGAGACACTCTGTGGTAAGAGAATAAAGGGGAAAAACAGCTCAGATTCATTTGGATCAAATTTAAATCTAGAATCATAAGGCAATCGAAATAAAATATATATATATATTATAAAATATTTTTATATTTTATATAAACATTTCATTATTGTGCAACTATATTTAATTAAAAATCAAAATGAAATGAATGCTTCACTGACTCAACATGGTTTGTTTTTGTTTTCAAACATAATATTATAATATTTAATATATTTATTGAAGATTTTTGCTCATTCAGCTGATTTTGCAGGTTTCGACGCCTGTGCACTTGGGCACAACTGCGAACATATTTGTGTCAACAACAATGCGTCTTATTTCTGCAAGTGCAGAGAGGGATACGTCATCAACTCTGACAAGAAAACATGCTCTAAGCAGGCCAACGGTTTGTCATATACAAATATGCATCAAATTGTCTGAAAAATTTGATGCATAATGTAAAGAATTTGATGCATTCTAAAGAAATGCATCCAGATAATTATTGTACATTGAACATATTTTTCTCTCAAACTAAATCCGATATAGCAGGCAGCGTATACGCTTGAAAAATACACAGAAAATTCAATATCAAAATCTGACATCAAATCATTTAAATAAGTATGTTGAATGAGAAATGATGTGTGCTATGGAACATCTGCTGATAGTTTGTTTTTATAATTCTCATTATGCAGTAACGTTGTTTATATGTAATTTATAAATTAAGGAGTGAAGGAAATATGTTTAACATACAGTAAAACATGTCTGTTTCACTTTCAGAAGAGGCCAGAGGAGATCTGACCGAGAATGCCTGCATGTGTGAGGCTCAAATGGCCTTTCAGAGGAACGTTCACACCAGCATACAGACCCTCACCAGCAGACATATCCTTTCAGATTAATAGAGCATTTGTTTATCACCTCAACCACTCAGTTTGATAAACTTCCTGTGTCCAGAAAGTAGCATTCAATGCTGTGGGATTTTTTGTAGCACTCACATTGTTATTCAATTTTTTGATTTATTGCATAGTGATTAGACATTTCATGATTTAGTTAGTTTTCTGTCCAAAGATGGGTAAAGATTCAGGAAACGAACCCTGATTATCATGATGTGTGATGCGTTTTTCTTAACTGTAGCTACATACTGGATGACATCACAAACAGAGTGCAGCAGTTTGATCTCCGTCATGCCTAGAGTGGAGAATGGGACCCAAAAGACAAAAATCTTTATTTAATCACTCATTGAAGCATTCCTCCCTTTGTTTGTTTAATCTGATAAATGTCTTGTTTCAAATTGCGCTTATTATAGATTTCAGTATGTTCTGAGTATCTTTGAGTTATCAACATATATCATGTTGACACAACGTGTTAATTGTTTTGAAGAATAAATTTCCTTTTATTTTGGGAACAAATAGTAAAAATAAATACATATAAATTATGGTAATATGTAAAGTATATGCACATTTTATATTGTTCTTTATCTTGGATACTTGTACAAA